TTTTTTTGACAGTCACAACGAAGTTTATTACAATGAGAGGCAAGGCCGACCTATCGGGACCAACACTCTTGATAAGAGTGCAGCCTCTTGAACAGCCGGGGTACAGAGTTGTTTTGTTTTGTTTTGTTTTCTTCAATATATGAAATTTATTGTCAAATTGGTTTCCATACAACACCCAGTGCTCATCCCAAAAGGTGTCTTCAATACCCATCACCCACCCTCCCCTCCCTCCCACCCCCCATCAACCCTCAGTTTGCCCATTGGATTTTTTAAACTTACTTAAAAAAAATAAGAATATTGCAACAATAGTACAAAGTTCCCACATAGCCTTTACCCAGTAAATGTGTTAATGTTTTATCATATGAGCATTATTCTCTTTCAGTCTGTATCTATACATTTACACCTTTTTGTCTGAATTATTTGAGAGTACATTGTAGGCATGATGCCTTTTTAATCCTCAGTACTTGAGTGTTTATAAAATTAGGAACATGTCCTCAGTATAAGTCCAGTACAATTATCAAAATCAGGACATTGATACAAAACTTTAATCTACAAACTTCATACCCATTTTACCATTTGTCACAGTGGATTTTATGGCAGAAATATGAATTAGGGAATTCTGCCTGTGATACAGAAAATAGGTCAGAATGGAGAAGGCTGGAGATAGGCTATTTTGATAGCGTAGGCCAGAGGTAATGAGACCCAAGACATAACGAGAGCTGTAGCATTAAGAATAATGGGGGATTTTGTTTATGAATAGTGGTTCTTAAGCAGAGATGCACATCAGAGTTGTCTGGGGGCACTGTCTTTAAAGTTTTTACGGGGTCCCAACCCAAAATAACAATCTCCCTTGAGCATGGAATTATAGTCATTGTAGTTTGACAAATGAGTCTCAGATTTTGATGGAAAGTGACAGGTTTTAATAACCATATGTGTGTATGGCACTGACTGGGCTTCGCATGTAGAATCGGAGCCACTGGCCAGATTTCTAGCTTAGGTGACTGGATGGTGTGGTGCTAGTACCTGGGGAAGAAAACATCAGAGGAAGATAGCTTGTCTTCCCAGAAATAGGAATGTAGTGGGTGCAGTTGCAGATAACATCGCCTAAATTTGTTTATGAGATTTCATTTGACTTTGTGTGTTTTCCATTTCTCCAGTTTAATCTGGTAATAAACTGTTCAGCCAGTCAAACAAAAAATATTTTATGAATTTTTGTGCTGGTTAGGCTATTTTAGTATATTGAATCTATATGAAAAGTTAGAAATTATGACCAAAGTGTTTATCCTGAGTTTGCATCAGTAGATGGCGGTAGTAAACAGCATCAGAGGAAGCTGTAACTTTGACCCTCAAGGCATCTTCCCCTTGGAAGAAATAAAAGCTAGCTTCTCTTTTGATTTGTCTTTTCCTCTCAGTCCAGTCCAGTCCAGTCCAGGCTTTCCCATTGCAGTGTGTCACTCTAACCATCTACTTAGCTGAGAGAAGCTTGGGAGTCATCTTGGTCCTTCCCTCTCATTCTTGAAGACCAGTTGATTCTGTTTCCAAAACACCCAAATTTGTGAAATTCTGTTTCTTCAGTCACCAACTCTCCCTGGGACTGTCCTTGTGTCCTAAATGGGCTCTGGGTTCTTTTTTCACTCACCTTCTTCCAGTCCTTTCTCCATGTAGCAGCCAGAGCAGTTTCCTAAAGGTCCTATTGTTGACTCATCTGCTAAAATTCTTCAGTGGCTTCCTGATTGCACTTGAAATATAAAGTGCTTTTTCACCTAAGAGACGTGGCATCATATGGCTTCTGCTTGCTTCTGTGATTTCATCTTATGCCACTCGCTGTGCTCTAGCCATTCAGGCCTCTGTTTTCAGTTTTCAGTACCACCAAACTTTCCTGGCCTTTTTTAGGAAGTTAAGCAGATTTTATGTAATTTATTAATTTGTCCAGTGCACAGATCTCACCACAGCAAAGTTTTGGTTATAGCTCTGATCTGTCTGACTCTTGTTGCCCAATGTGAACTTTCATTTCCTATTAAGTAGTGTTTTGTATGTTGTGTTTGATGGTTTAGGAACGATAAATATGATTGATTCAGTGTGTGTGACCTAAGCTCTCCAGTCTACTGAAGTGTCCTTTATTTGCTAATGTTGTGGTAAAATACATAATATAAGGTTTACCATTTTAACTGTTCTTAAGTGTGCAGTTCAGTGGTATTAAGCACATTCACATTGTTGTGCACCCATCACCAGATCTTTTCCAGATCTCTCTTCATCTTCCCAAACTGAGACTTTGTTCCCATTGAACACTTACTGCCCTTTACCCCCTTCTGCCTTTTGGCAACTGCTCCCCTTTCTTTCTATTTAGAATACAATTGGTTTAATATTAAAAGATGGATTTAATTCCTTCATCTTAGATGAATATATTTACTAGTAACTATTCTGAGCAGTACACACCCTTAAACCTATTCTGCCTTCACCTGTTTTCTGAATCCTTAGCGGGGAGTGCTGACAGTTCTAACAGTTTAACACTTTTTCCTTCCAGCTCTTCCCCCCCCACTATACACGAATTGTTAAAAAAGCATGTGCAGTGCTTGAACGTTGGCCTCTTGTATACTACTCATGTTGAATTTTGACCATTCTGGCGGATGCAGAACAGAGATGATTCCTAGTTTTAGATAGATGCAAACATTTTATTAAATACTATTATCATCCCACTAGGCAGTGAGCACCTTAAGGGCAGAACGGTCACACATTGTATTCTACTTGCTGAACGTGTGAATAATAAAATGAAACTTGAAATCAGAAGTATGTGGTTGGTTCACCTAATATAAACATGGTTATTGTGCATCTTCTGTACAGAACAGATAATTGGAAGTCTATATGCATACATTGAGTAATGGCTAAACTTAGCTTGTGTGCCAATACTGTGAATGGTTCCAAGTGTTTGGTTCTTAACCATCAGCCACTCGGTAGATGTGTACAGATGAAGGGGG